AAGGAGTTTTTTTTTAAAATTGAGTGGTGGTGGTTTGGGTGTGTTGAGTAATTTCATGGAGGGTTAGATCTAGGGTGAGGGTTGGGTTTGGTGAGGGGAGGGGAGAGAAGAAAGAGGCAGAGGGAGAGAGAGAAGATAAGAAACTAAAATTACTAGAATACCTATGCCACGTCAGCATACTTAACAGTTTTGTGAATGAAAATGGACGGAAATGGTAAAGTGAGAAAATTTTAGCAATTTTTAGAGATTTAGGGGGTTAAGTGAGAAAATTCCAGTTTAAGGGGGTAAAACAGTAAATAAGCCTTAATTTTAATCAAGGGAAGATGCATGGTAGCTGCGCAGAATTGAAGGGTGACTTGACTCCACTGTCCACTCGAGTGTTTTCAGATTTATAACGTGTTTGCTTGGAGATCAAGGGGCCCATTTGGGGGAGTTGGAATTTCCAAGTTGTAATGTGTAGAAACCACTCATTTATTATTCATTCGTACTCTTAAAAAGTATTTGTCATCACCCTTTTCCTCCTCATTGTCATTTCTGTGTTCCTTCCCTTCCCCCCAAACAATCACCGTTTGACTTGAAAGAAAAATTGCAATATCATGAAAACCTCAAATAATGAGAAAAATCTACATGAACTTCCACTAAACTTCCAGGTAGCTGCCGGTACACTAGTTCTATGTGAAATAGTTCTATGTGGCTCTTCTACTTTAACACACATCAAAGAAAGCACCTACTAAGAGCATTTCCGCCTGTAAGCTCAGATAGGCAAAAGGCCTCCTAGGCTTCCAAAACTGGCTCCATTGGTCAATTATTGCCGTGGCAACACATGGGGTCTACCAAGACATCGAATGATCAATGTCCAGTGGGGCCGACCAAAGCAATGTACATGAAATTACTATTTTTCCCTTTTCATTATCAGACACAAAGAAAAACACAATTAGTCAATAACTTACAAAGAAAGAAACAAGAAGAACTTGCCTTGAAATTGCTGGAGCACCAAAAATATGCACAACACAGCCCCACACAACCAACTGCTTCGGCTGAATAAACAGAGCAAACCCCTCTCCACTGCCTTCCTTATTTCCCCAACTGCCTTCACATCAACCATCTCTGCCCTCACTCCTTCCAATGGATGTTACAAATGATAAAAGAACAATTTCAAATACAATAAGATAAAGTAACATTTTTCAAGCTTATTTTTATACTTCCTCATTTCAATGCGTGACATTGTTTGAAAATTTATTCTAATTTGTTAATAGAATTGTAAAAACATATTCAATATGTCGTTAATTAATCATAATTGTAAAGATTAAACGTCACCAAAATTGCATTGAGTGGAGGTTCTATCTATAAATTCAACTAAATAAATCATACGTGTAATTTTCGAGTGATTATAAGTATTGGAAATGGAAGAGAAGATGCAAGCTATGACTGGAAAATGAGACATGAAAGGGGCCTTTGTTGACCGTGGACTCTAGTTATATAAGTCTTGAGGAGCAATCCATTTTCAATCATGTGCGCATCAACCTGCACGGCACCCTCTTCTTCCTAATGAATGAGAAAGGCTGTCCGCCAGAATTTGGACTACAAAACAAATCCATATGATATCTCTACCAACCAACCACAGGCTTGTCTTTCTTGTATGTTTTAACTTCTGAAGTTGACATTTTGAATTCTCTGCCCAAACAAAAACCCAAAACCACTACTCTTCTTAACCCAAACCATTAATCCCCATTCATACACTGTAGAGTTTGATAGAAATAACAAGAGAGAGAGAGAGAGAGAGAGAGAGAGAGAGAGAGAAGGCACGACTTCATTGCTTATGGCCCCAATACAACTGACAATGTAATATAGGCCTAAATTTTCTGTTTGATTTTTGCTTCAGGATTTGCGTGGAAAGAACTACACAACGTAAAGCATCAGATCAGATGCTTTTTGACAAGGCAGCCAAAGTTGATTCTGTATTATACTATGATATGCTAGAGTGGGAGTGGTGCACGCGTGTTGAAATCTTGGGTTCAATTGTATTGCATACGATTAACTTTTATCGTAATACCATCACGTGATGTACATGTTACACTTTTATTCTACTCGTATTATAATATGTGTGTGTTTTGAGATCAAGAATCAGTTATAATATGTCTAAAGACTTAACTGACTGGCTTTCCCTTGGAATTTGCAAACCAGAGACTAACTGGCTTACAAAAACAAGGTTGATTAGATTTTTTTATTTTTTATTTTTGGTTTTAATTCATTTACCATCTTACTTGTTAAAATTTTCTAATTTTGGTCGCAATATGATACTTGTGTAGATGTTTCAAAGGGTAGCCAACCCATCACATCCTTCTTAAATGCTAATCCACTGAGCCCTCTTAAATGCTAATCTGCACTGGGAGTTGTTGCTTGCTTCAACAAGCAAGAAGTTTGAAATTTCAATTTTATTTTCGAAGATTAAATAAACATTAATCCAAAATAATTGGACAAAATGGCGTGATATGACACTGGGAAAGTTGCTGAGAAAATGAGAGGACGTTGTAAGCAAGAGGAGAGGAAAAGGAAACACAAACAAGTGATGTAATCTTGATACTTACTTTTTTGTGCACAACATAAATCCACCATACATAATTCCTACTAGCCCTGAACCAACAAATTTTTTCGGGGCGGCACCAACTAACTCTTTTGGGAATTCCTCCAGCAGCTGAAACACCTACCCTGCTTCCAAGTACTACATGTTTAATTTTAAGTTCAAAATACTTAAAACTACAGCCATGTCAATATGGTTAGAAGCAGTCTGAAAATTGGCTAAAATTACAGTGCTCTGTAGACAGGTTTAATTTGAGAGAACTCTGTAACATGGTGATTGTGCTCTAGAAATTGGCTTAAATTACAGTGCTCAAATCCCTAGTTAAAATTAACCTTCATATGGTCAACAACAACAGCATTGGTGAAACAAACAGTCGTCTACAATTGACCAAAAGTAAGTGGTACACAAAAAGTAATGTAGTTCAGCCTTATCCAAGAGATGACTAAAGAACACTTGCCTTGAGAGTGAGATCATGTTTTTTGAGAATCAGACCACAACATGAGAGTTGCCAGAAGAGCCACAGTTGCAGTTTCAACCCGTAATCGATGTGGGCCAAGACCAACAGAGATAGCACCAGCTTGCATCAATTCATTCACCTCTTTCTCAGTGAAGTCTGAAGCAAGAACATGGAAAAATAGATCCACAATCCTGAGTAGTACTCTCAGTATTGCAAACTAAACTACATAAGCATATATGATATATTTATGAGTATACAAGAGGCATAGGATGAACATAATGAGAGACTGAATACTAAGCACCAAACATACTGGAAAATCAGAGCACACAAACAATTGTTGGTAGTTTATTCCAACATAAACCTTAATAGAAATTTGGGTATATTTTACTCATAGTTTGACCCAGACTCTTCTTCTTACCAGTTTTGTTTACAATTTGCTGCATACCTTCTAATTGCCTGATATTCAATTGATATTAAAATTCTTATTAATTTTGGTTCGCCAATCAAACCTCCAATTTGTTTCCAAAACCCTTCATCAAGTCAAAGTCATAATGGCCTAATCAATTTTGCATCAATCTGTCGATATATTTATGAGTATACAAGAGGCATAGGATGAACATAATGAGATACTGGACTGAATACCAAGCACCAAACATACTGGAAAATCAGAGCGCACAAACAATTGTTGGTAGTTTATTCCAACATAAACCTTAATAGAAATTTGGGTATATTTTACTCATAGTTTGACCCAGACTCTTCTTCTTACCAGTTTTGTTTACAATTTGCTGCATACCTTCTAATTGCCTGATATTCAATTGATATTAAAATTCTTATTAATTTTGGTTCGCAATCAAACCTCCAATTTGTTTCCAAAACCCTTCATCAAGTCAAAGTCATAATTGGCCTAACCAATTTCGCATCAATCTGTCACCCTAAATCTCATTATTTGGGGATAGAAATGCAGGATTTTGGTGCTGTCCAGAAAACTAATTCAAAAGTGGAAAAGTTTCTGGTTTTCAAGTTTTATTTATATGCCCGGTGATTGGTATGCAGCAAAAGTAATAAAAAGAAAACATTTACAGGATGCATACTTACCACCTTCAGGTCCAACCACAATCAACCCACTGGACTCCGTTCCTGACGAAGTTAATGCACTAACAAGAGGAGTACCTTCTGCAACTCCCAAAAAAGCTAGCTTTGACTCTGCAACCTATGAAACAAAATTGTATATATGTAATTTAAATTAACAATGCAAAGGAAGAAGAGTTGATATCCTGAACAGCATGAACATCAATGAGAAAAATATGTCAAAGAGCATATTATTAATGTGGAACTACAACTCTCTGCCGCGAGAAAATTGCACGTAACATTTTAAGTACAAACGATACTAAAAGAATAAGAACAGTTTGTCACTGACCTATACTATAGAACGGGCCAGAATACACATCAATAAACCAACCTTTGAAATGAAACAAAATAGGAAGAAAGCACTCACAAGAGGTAAAAGACCATTAATATTCTTTGGAGTATTCAAGATCATTTCATGAAGCCGTTGACCTGTGAAAATATTCATTGGCAAAAAATTTGAATTTTATTATTTCGAATCAAAAGTTTTATAGGACATGTCTGTCAGCACTACATGTATATTAGAATAAGGGTGAAGCTTCCTTTACATTGTTTAGCTGCTGCCATATTGACACGCTGCAACCTGTCCAGTCGATTTTCTGAGACAGTAGGAGACCGCTCAGTCAGCAGAGGAGTTAAACTACTTGCCCCCAGCTCCTAATACAACAAATACAAAAACAATACAATTAGCAGAAATGGCGGTTATGCACTATCCCTATAGTCATCACAAAAACATGAATTATACCGTGCATTTCTCAACAAGCCAATCAGCTCGGCCACCCTTTAAAGTACCTAAACAGGGGCAACATGTTAATATGTGACAACAATATTCCCCTATGCCGTAACCACTCTTACAAAACATTCCCCCGGAATTGGAAATCTAAAGAACTCACCAAAAGCTGCAAATACATGCCATTGTGTGCTCTGTGGAAGAACTGACTTTGGATCTTCCAATGCCACAAAATCAAGTCCAGAGCGGTCGACGCTCTGTATTAAACCTTGTATCAAACCTCCTTTCCCATTGAAGAGCTCTACCCTTGCATGCATTATGTGGACAATCATTAAAATACACAAGTGTAATGTAATGCAACAAATCCCAATTTCCTAAACAAAATTGAACCTTTCATAATAAATGGTTCCAAATTCAACGCAATCCAATTCCAATTTGTCCAGATAACACGAAATTAAAATGGATGAAATTGATCAGGACTAGGATTTAGGTACCTATCGTTTGTGCGCAATCTTAAAACTTTGGTCATGTGCCAGAACTCATCGCCTTGTACGCGAACTATGCCTCCCTGTATAATCATCAAGAGAACAAACAATAAGAGCCTACATTTACTCTGTGAGTAAGTGAGAGAGAGAGAGAGAGAGAGAGAGAGAGAGTGCCTTGGAAGTAGGGAGAAGCTCGGAGAAGAAGCGAGGGAGGCCACCGCGGGACTGGTTGGAGTAATCTGAAGAAGAAGAAGAAGAGAATGCTCGAGGGCTCAAGGTTCTGATAGAGAGCGACGAAGGATTCAAGCTCCACAGCCTTGCAAAACGAGGCCGTATTGGCGTTAGGGTTTGCATTTCCCACCAATTTCAGAGTACTTGGAGTTGAGCTGTGCTTTTTCAAAGTTCTCCGCTCTGTTTTGGTGGGTGTTGTCTGGGAAAAGCATGCTATGTTGTTTGTAAACGACAATCATATATCTACGACATGGACGACATAAAAAAAGCCATTTGAATAGTTCGTTTTACTGGTAGTATTAAATTGATTTGGAACTTGACATGAAACTCAAACGGATGTAATAAGAGGGTGGTCCTTGCTTGCTGGTTGAAATCCACATAATTAAGTATTTATAATCAGATAATTTGATTACATAAGGATAATTATGGATATTCTTCTAATACAGAGAGCTTAGCATCAACTCTTTTAACAGGTGAAAGACTGAACTAAGGCAAGATAGACTTTTCAATTCGTACGAGTTCTTTGGCCACATCAATCATATCTGGCCCTGCTTCAGTTTTGAGTTGGATGCACAACAATACCAGTGCTAGGAAATCCTTCAGTTGCTGTTGTGCTTGCTCATCTCCCCTGACTTCCTCAAGGATTTTACGGTCCGCAATTGTCTCTATTTGAATCTGTCCATCAGAAACATTAAGTTTCGGATCTTTAGTAAGTTCCTCATGTCCTGAGTTTCTATCCACAGCTTCTCGTCGCATCAAGAATACAAGTAAAAGCACACCAAAGCTATAAACATCAGTTTTTGTTGTAACATAACCGGTCGCCAGGTAGTTGGAGTCAAGGTACCCATACATCCCTACCACGCCAGTTTTAACATGGGATTGCTTAGGAGGAATGGTTATGGAGTTTGAATAGTCGAAGAGTTTGGGAACATAGTCATCGTCCAATAAAATGCAGTGGGATGTTATACTCCTATGAACGATGGGCCTTGGAAAGGCA